CTGTAAATCTTCTCGGGAGCAGAAAACTTTGTCTTTGTCCTGCGGACCCACTGGTAGTTTTGAACTGCTGACCTTGAGGCTAGCAGTCACTACGCTACCAGAGCTCCTTAATAGCAAGACTAAGCTGACGTAAGAATGGTGTGGGGCGGTGTCTGACCTCCTCTCACTTCATGAGCGGGGAGAAGAATGAAGATCAACAGCTCACAGCTGATGTTTATGAGGCAGAGGTCAGATGCGCCTCCACCATTCCAGCCTTTTTGAAAATTGATTTCATCTGACACCAGCTCCTCCCACCGTTCTCTGCTCCTCCTGAGCTGAATAATTTATTGCCATGACCACATACACCACACAGATTGTTCTCACAATTGTGAGGTGTATTAGGGAATTAACAGTTCATGGTCATGCGCAGATACAATTACAGAAAGAGGTCTTTAGCCAGGACATAGTCTTCTGGACTACACTCACAGACAGGTCTGTCTCTGGCCCGCAGCCTTGTTGGCTCTTGGCATAACCTCTGCCCTGCCAAGCAACTGTTAAGAAGCTCTCTAGCTTTGCCAAGAAATGCCCAGAGGCGCCCAAATCCGTGGGTCAAGGAGCCTCACTCCAGCACGTGCTCAGAGGCACCCACTCTGCCAAAAAACCTCCTGTCGCTAAGGTCAAGTTTCCTAAAACTACTTCCGATTAATCGCCCCTTCTGCAATGTCCCCCCCCCATGATTGTCCCTTGTCCCTTGAGAAATCTGTCAAGATGACCCTTTGAGAATCCTAAAAAGCAGTCACCATCACCTTCTGAGCTAACCTCTCTGCTCAGCAGATCCCCATGGAAGCTCTTGTTTTGATTGGAACTTTTTTTTGGAAGACACTTGTGCCCCCTCTCCCACCAAATCTGTGTCAATTTGTCTGGGCCATGATTCTGAGTGGTTTGGAGGTTGTGTAATGATCCCCCCATGAAGTAATCGGATTTGCTAAACTAATCTGCTATAAAAGCACTAGGGGTGGGCTGCAAAATGCCCTCACAGTCTTCATTTTATGTAAGGGGAGTTGCCCTAGGGTGTGGCCTGCAACACCTTTTATCTTATGAGAGATCAGAGGAGAGAGAAGTGAGCGGAGAGAGGAACCTAGTACCTCCAGTGAAGAAGAGACATGAGGGAGGGTGTCCTTTGGACCTAAGCCCGGGTGCTGGGAACCACCTAAATCTGGCGGAAGGTTGATGCCAAGACAGTTGGAGATCTTCAAGGAGTGCCAGCTAGTGAAGGAGACTAGTACCTTCCTCTTCAACTGAGAGTCAACAGAGAGAGAGGGAGCCTTCTTCTAGAGCCAGTGCCGTGAACTCAGACTTCTACCCTCTTAGACTTCTGGTGTGCTGCTTCAGGATAATGCACTGGACTGCAAGGTCAGTTTGAACCGCAAGGTCACTGGTTCTTTGTGTATTTCTGTGGGAAATTTGTGTATTTAGGCCAGCTCTTTGCTAGGTAAAGGAGATGTTATTGCTATTAGGTGCCATCAAGTCGGTAGTGACTCATAGTGACCCTGTGCACAGCAGAACGAAACACTGCCTGATCCTGGGCCAACCTCACTACTGTTGCCA